ATTATATTTACTTTGTAAAAATCTGTTACAAGAAAAACAGTTACGAGAAAGTTATAGATGTCCTTTAATACATGTAATACTCAAAAGCTTGTTCAAGTTCATGAAATAAAAACTTGTCAAAGTTGTAGCATACAAAACATGTGTATTCCTATTTCTTTCATCGTATTATAACACCATTATGAAGTTGAGAAGTCTTCTTCATTAAGTGTCCATATATAAAAGGGCCCTCTTTTATAAGCCTCATGTTAATAAGTCAAGAGAAGAATCATAAAGCATTTTCGAAGTTTAAAAATGCTAAACTGTTCTATAAGTCCTAAATAGATAAAAAAAAAAGGGCAAGAATAGAACATATTGAAGTACCAAGAAAACTTCTTAAAAAAGACTAAGTAAAACTTAGTCAAGCAAAATGTTTTTACAAGTGCCCCATTATGATAACTGGGGACTTAACCACCAATTAATAAAAAAAAAATAACAAAGGAGTGAAATATTCAACTTGTCACTAAAGGGGTTGGAACTTCTGAAGTTGCAATGTCAACTTCATTTTCAGGAGCAGCTGTAGGCACGGTAGCAATTTCTGAAGAAGTAGCGGCAGTTGGGCTTGAAGTGTTTAAGTCACCAAGGGGAGCAAGAGTCACGGGAGCTTCAGCTTCCACAGTCTGTATAAGTGAAGTTTCACCCTCGGGAGCTGGAATTGTAACATTTTCAACTTCAACAGAAGCGGCTCCTTCATTGAAAGGTTCCTCAGCCACGGGAGTTTCATTTGCTGGAGAAGGAAAGTCAAGAGGTTGTTGAGTCATTTCAATGGTTCTCAAAACCTTGGCCAATTCCGATTCTAAGTCAAAGTTTTCTTGACTGGCCTCAGTTAAGGCATCACGGCGGGAGTTTAGAAAGGCCCAGCTCACCTCTGTGTTAAAGTTCTCCTCAAGAAGCTCATAATTCCTTTCCCACGAGGCAAGATCATTTTTTAACATTTGATTTTCAGCCAAAGTGGAATCAAGGGTAGCTTCAAGGGAGGCACGAGAATCCTCTAAGGCACGAGCCTTATCAGAGGAAATTTGCAAGTCAGCCTGAGCCTGGGACAAGTTTTTAACTAGCTCTCCCGCGTACTCCTCTTTCTTGCTCAACAATACCTTAAGTTCTCTAATCTCTTCGCTTGACTTTGATAATTGTTCTAAAAAAGAACATTCAAGGCGTTCTTTATCCTTCTCAGCTTTACTAGAAGAAGCCTTGGCCCCCGCTAATTCAGAAGTCAGAATTTGCTTTTGCTGTTCCAGGTCACGTTTATTCTCTTGCAAATCTTTTATCTTTTTCTGAGCATTTTTAAACTGCTCTTTCCAATTGGTTGCCTCAAGCTGGGCTTCTCTAGCTATCCTCTCAGCCTCAAGAAAAGTCTGATCAGACTCGCGAGCCTTCTTTTCTAAGAGGAAAATTCTTCCCATCAATTCCGTACCAATGAGGTTAGTCTAAAAAAAAAAAAACTCATGAAAGTTAGAATTAAAAAGAAAGAATTTATTAAAGAGTAAAGGGAGAGTACCTTCAATGTACAATGAACTATATCATTCATCAAAGTTAGACAACTGTGACTGTCCATCTTCTTTTTCTCAATATCCCCAATTAAGGGTTCAAGCCAAACATCTGCTCTGCCAGACTTCCTTAAAAGACTGCTATTAGCAGGAACCTCAAGGGTTACACTCCTCATAGCCATGCTTCTGCTACTAGAACTCTCTTCTGCATAATGAGCAGAGGAAGGGGGAACTATAGAAGGAGGAACGGTAGAAGAGGTGAAAATAGTAGTAGTCGAAGGAGTCGAGGCAGGTAAGGGAGCAGAAATTGACAAAAAGGCAGATACAGACAAAGTGGGTAAGGAAACACTTGAAATTAGAGGAGGAGGAACAGAAAGAACAGGAACGGAAGATGAAAGAGGAATTTCATCTAATACCGGACCTAATTCACCACTTCGACGCCCTCAATAAAGAGGCGGTGAGTGGATTCAGGGGAGTCCCTTGGAATGGTTTCTTCATCGGAGGTAATAGTAACGGGTTCGGAGATACGAGCGGGAGAGATTTCAGTTTCATCCTCAAAAACAATGCGCCTCCTGGTTCTAGGACGAGCTGTCAAAGAGGTATCTTCATCTTCATCAACGTCAGAATCCTCTTCAACTACTTTTCTCTTTGATAGCGTGGCTTGTGTTCTTTCCAAAGCAAGAGGAGTACTGGAAGAAGCTCGAAGGGTGATAGCTACTTCAGCCGACATCCCTCGAATAGCAAATCCTGACAATAAGAAGGATAAAAAGTTAAAAGAGGGGAAAAGAATTTAACACACGAGAAGCAAAAAGGAATGTTTGATTCACCCACCAAATCAATTGTGGGAACAGCAACAAACCGGGTGTACCAGCCACGGTCGTTATTATCTTCAGGGTTAACCAAAACCCTCTTACTTCTTGCAGTTAAGGTAAAAACACCATTGCGGAATAGCTTGGGGTGATAAAGATGAATTAGATGAGGGAAAGTAAAGTCAACATCAGCTTTGGTTGACATATACCTCAAACAAGCTACTGCTCTCCATACGAGGGGACCAACTTGAGCCAGACAAATTTTGAAAAAACGACAGAAATCAAGAATGACAGGGTCAATAGCAGGAATAAATCCCAAAGTAAAGGGATAAGTGTAAACGAAAGAAAAGCCAACCCTATAAGAAGATATTCTTTGATGTGGAGTAGGAATAACTATTTGGGTGTCACCTCTCCAATGACAATCTCTTCGAATAATTTGAATCAAAGGTTCAGTAATTAAAGAGGGATATTTATCAGCTCTCTCTAATTTAATCACTTGGTCACGAAGGGATTCTTTGTCATGTTCGAAAGATAAATCCGTTGGCACAATTTCTTCAACCAAAGGCTCTTGGTTGGACTCAGAAGGTTCTTTGCCCTTAGAAGAAGATTTGTTAGAAAGAGAGCCTCTAGAGATATTGCCAGAACTAGAAGAAGGAATGGTGGAACCAGAGGTACCACCACGAACCGACCCTGTACCACGAAGCACACTTCCTCTACCTCTTCTATATCTAGCAGGAGCATTGGGGAAACTATCAAGAATTGGGACTATTTTAGGGTTAGGATTCGAAGACGACATAGTGAGAAGATATAAACAGAAGGTATGAACTGAAGAAGAAGTGAACAAGAGTAAATAGCAAGAAATTTGGTAAAGTAAATAGCAAGAAATTTGGTAAAAAGCTTGTGAAGAAGAAGACAAAGGAAAAAGGGGGCAAGTTTATATATAAACTCAACCGTCGATAATTAAGAAGTGTAATGATGGAAAGCCTATAATAAAGGCAACTATCACTTCGTGNCAGCGTTTGAAGTCAATACCGGAAAACTTTCCGGGTTTTTCTGCGGGTGCCATAGTAGAGCAGGAGTAGAATGGCTTGACGAGGCAGCAACACTCGTAACAGTAGCACCCGTTCCCGCAACACTTCCATTAGTTTGGTTTTCATTCGTCATATTTCTGTAAAGTTGAAAATAATACAGAACTTTGTTAAATCAGTGAAGTTTTGATATCTTCAAACTGAATATCAAACCAAACATACAACACGTAACAATGGTGAAGTTTTTATATACTTCAAACCCGTACGTTTATTATTCCGGCAAAGTTTTTATGTACTTTAAACCGGACAGAAAGAATTATTGGAGTAGAAAGCAACAAGGCTTTAGTCTCCAAAAAAGTATACAAAATATGAATAACAGTTTAATATATGTTTCAACACAGAAACGTTAGTATTAAAATTCCTTAAGCTTGTGAGCGCTACTGTGTTAAAACACAAAATCAGAAAAAAACTGTTAGAAAAATAAAAAAAACTGGAAAAACAGAAGAGTTTAAGAAATATTCCGAGTCCACAATTTTCTTGTGTGTCCTTAAGGAATTTTAACCCCCTCACACGTTGCCAAGGTAATGGATTAAATCCTCCCAGGATAAAACGAAATAAACCTTCCTGCAACAGTGACAATACAAACTGCAGGATACTAAACTCAAAGAACGGAGCAAAATCACATTTTCGAATTTGAGAGAGAGAGACTGCGAATTAGGATGCAGTATATTCAGAAAGAAAGAAGTTCTGGAGTGTTTTTCGTGTATAGAAAATGGAACCTTGCCTCAGAATTTATAGGCAATTATCAGAAGAGGTGTCTGGAAAAGGTGACTTTTCAGAAGAATACGCTGCCTGCCGCGGTTCTACCGCGGTCGCGGCAGAACCACGATCAGAGAGGCTTTCTGAACCTGCCTGCCGCGGTTCTACCGCGGTCGCGGCAGAACCGCGGCCAGAGAGGCCCTCTGAACCTTCAGCAGGGTTCTGGCGTATTTTCAGCAGTGATTTGGCATTTAATTAATTAATAAATTTTGTCCAAAAATAATCTTATCGATCGATCATTTGACAAATCCAAATCCAAATCCAAATCCAAATCCAAATCCAAAGCCAAAGCCAAAGCCGAGCCGAGCGAGCGACGAAGACGGCGCGAAGGTTCATTCTCTTCAACTCCTTTTTAAGAGCTTTAAGAAGTGATTCTATATATAAGCACACAAATGTGGTTGTCCCTCACCAATGAGGGACAAAGTGCAAGACAAAAGTTCACTTCTTCAAATTTTTAATTTCCCTCCATTTTATTTCCCTCCATTTCCAATTCACACTTCTTCTACTTTAAAGCCCAATGGCTTAAAGTCCAACAAATTATAATAACGCCACAACATATGAAAAATAAATGACAATTAAATATGCAATGCAACACATAAACCGGTACCTCCAGTACCCCGCTGCGGCCGTGCAGCCCGCTCCATTTATTTAACGTCGACGGCGCTCACTGTGGGTGTGCAGACTCCGGGAGGGGCCCCTTACGGCCCAAGCGCAATAATAAGCCATCTCGTGGCATCAAACAGGCCCTTGGACTCATATCAAGATCATTATTATACCACTGCGGCGTGCAGCCCGATCCCATACTCAGTCCAAATTCACATGATAGTATAAAAATATTCAGCCCAAACTTCATTTAACAATAATAATTAAGTTTCAAGTTTAAGAAAGGTGGCTGAGTTTCCAAACAAGATATTAAATGCCAGGACTGAGTTTAATATTTTGTGATTATGGTAAGAAACCATTTAAAACAATCCCTGAAGGAATCAAGTAGTTGGCACAAAGCCCAAATATAACAATTTAATCCATTTTTATAAGGATATCACAAAACTACAATCAATTGGGTAGTAATTTTATTAAGCGGGACGGACCAAGTCACAATCCCCGACGGTGCTCTACCCCACGCCCGTTATCCGGCGTGCAAGTCACCTCACATAGCACTACGATGTGCAAATTCGGGGTTTCAAACCCTCAACGCAGCATTTACATTTATTACTAACCTCAAGCTGGCCAAAGTCCTAGCTTGCTATGCCCTTGCCTTTCGAATTCGCCTCCTCGTGCGTAGAATCTGACCAAAACCACAACGAATACGTCACAATATGCTAAGGGAATATAACCCAATCGAAAAGACTCGAAAAACATCGAAAATCACGAAGTTGGCAAAACCCGAGCCCCGGGCCCACTTCTCGAAAAATCAGAAAATGAACATCACCGGATTTCTTATCTCGCCACGAGTCTATACATATAAAGAACACCAAAATCGGAGTCCAAATGACCCCTCAAATTCCTATTTTTGTTCTCTTATGTTTCAAGCCCTAAACCACCATTTTTGACCTTAATTCCTTGAGTTTTCAGTCAAATTTCATGTATTTGCATGATAAAATCATGTTCTAAGTTCAAGGATGCTTACCTGATCGAAGTCCTTGAATTCCCTCTTCAAAATCGCTCAAGAACACCCCAAGTCCGAAGTTAAAATATGTGTTCTGTAAAATTTCGCGAAGGGATTAAAACCCACTTCCGAACAGTTATTTCCACACCTGCGGCCATTTTCCGCTTCTGCGGTCTTTTTCCGCTTCTGCGGAAGCCTCCTTAAAATCCAAACTTCCACATCTGCGGTCCTTTTGTCGCATCTGCGACTCCGCAGATGCGGTCAGCATCTCCGTACCTGCGATTCCTGTCGCTTCTGCGGTTCTTGCACCGCTTCTGCGGTCCCATTTCCGCAGAAGCGGAAATACCAGAAGCAGCACAGTTCTGCAATCTCTCAAGTTCAAAACTTCCCGATCGGCATCCGAAATCACCCCGAGGCCCCCGGGACCTCAACCAAAAACACAAACATGATCCAACACCTTATTCAAACTTGCTCCAATCATCAAAACACCTCAAACAACACTAAAACCATCATTTCTCATCGAATTCAAGCCTAAGTTCTTCCAAAACTTCCGAAACACGCATTCGATCAAAACCCCAACCAAAACAGCTCCGAATGACCTGAAATTTTGCACACACATCCCAAATCACCCAACAAAGCTACTGCAACTCTTGGAATTCCATTCCGAC